ACACTGTGGAGGTTCCTCAAGAAACTAAAAGCAGATTTACCAATCATCCAGCTACCAACCACCCCACTTCTGGGCATATATCCAAAGGAAGTGAATCAGCATATCAAAGAGATACCTGCCTGCTCACTTTTATTGCAGCACTATTCACAATAACAAGAGGGGCCACGGATTTACCTCAGCAGCCTATGCACCTACCTGGCCAAGCGTGAGGTCCTGAGTTCGATCTCCAGTATCAAAGGGAAAAAAAAATGTTGGAGACACAATAGACAAGTTACAAAAAGCAAGCTAGGTACCCATCAACAGATGAACAAAGAAAATGCAGAATATATACCCAGGGAATACTATCCAGCTATTAAACAAAACAAAACAAAACAAAACAAAAAAAAAACCCTGTTATATTCAGCAAAGTGAATGGAAGTGGAACACAGGACTAAGCTCTAGTGTTCCACAGTACAGTGAGGTGATTATAGTTCACGGTGACCTATTATATACTGTATGATGTGCATGACAGCTTCAGACATAAAGAAAAATGAGGGGGGCAGACAGGCTAATTACTCAGACTTGGTCAGTAAATTCTATATGCATGTGTTGGATCATGCATACAGAATATAAATACATGTAATTATCACATGTTAATAAAATGTCTTTAATTTTTAAAAGAATAAGAAATCTAAATATAAAATATGAAACCACAGAACTAACAGAAAATAACAACACAAGAGAACAAGTAGGAGACATTAGGTTTTGTGAATGCTTTTTTTTTTTTTTTTTTGTCTTTTTATCAGTACCGGAGATTGAACTCACAACTGCCTGCTTGCAAGGCAGGCGCTTATGCCACTGAGCTAAATCTCCAGCCCCCTTTTTTTCATTTTTATTGGTACCAGGGATCAAACTCAGGACTGCCTGCTTGCAAGGCAGGCGCTTATGCCGCTGAGCTAAACCCCCAGCCCCTTGTGAATGCTTCTTAGGTACAATATCAGAAGTGTGATCTACAAAAAAAAATTAAGTTGTATTTCATTAAAACTAAAATTTCTGTTTTGGGAAAGACCCTGTTAGGAGAATGAAAGGACAAGCCAGACTTGGAGAAAATAAGACAAATCTGAAAAACAACTATATCTAAAATATATATGAAACAATACATCCAAAAACTCCCAAAACAAGTAAGAAAACAAACAGCTCAATTTAAAAATGGGGAAAAGACCTAACCAGACACCTCATCAAAGACACACAGCTGGAAAATAAGCACTTTGAAAGACAGGTGACCATTTCTCACAAACAAAACACTGCTCACTCTATGATCCCTAAATGGTACATGAAGATTTGCACACAAATGGCTTTATTCATAATTATCCCAAACTAGAAGCACAATGTCCTCCAATGTAGGTGAATGTATAAGCAAAGTGGCACATCCACACCAAAGAACATGGTGGGGGCATACTGCTAAGTGAAAGAAGCCAAAGGTCAAACAAGCACAATGTGTAACATTAGTAACACAAACTAAAAGCTTCAATTACAATGTATCAATATATTCCTTGTAACAATTGTACCAAACACAATTTAGGAATAACTGAGGAAATTATCTACAGGAAGAGAAAGAATAGCTGCCCAATCTACTTTCTTATCAATTTTTCTGAGTTCCACCTGTACTAAACCATGAAAAGGCAGGAAGAAAACTTAAATACACATTAAAGTGAAAACACCAGTCCAAAACAGCTACACACTGTATGATTCCAGCTAGATGACATCTGGAAAAGGCAAAACTAGAGACAGGAAAGAGATGGGTGGTGCCAGGGGTTGAAGGGAGGAAGAATGATTAAGCAGAGCACAAGAGAGTCTTAGAGTAGAGTAACTGTCCTCACAACAATTTATCAGCCTAACCCATACAACACCAGAGCCAATTAATGGAAATGAAATGGTATCAGCCCTTCCCCTGTAACCATGACCCACTAAGGCAAGGTACTAACCCTCAAGGAAGTACCAGGTTCTGGAACAAGGCAAATGAGAAACCACCCCCCCCCCCCGCCTCCTCCACTGTCTGGATATCTAAAACTGCTCGGAAATATAAAGTCTATCATTTCGCAAAGCAATGGGTAAATGTTAAACTAATCTCAATTCTACAACCACTATTATCACCACTTTCTTTGGAGAAGGTATTTATTTATTGAGTCAAGGTCTTGCTATGTACTTGAACTTACTTTATAGCCCAGGTTGCCCCGGAACTCACAGCAATTCTCCTGTCTCAGCCTCCCAAGGGTTAGGCTGATAGGCATGCACCATCATACCCTGCTGAAAAGGACATTTTAAATTTCTTCCACCTGCAAACTTTTCTCTCCATACTTGTCAACATTTTCTTTCATTTTAATCTGAAAATATTTTCCTTTCACTTACATCTGATTCTTTCCAGACTTGTGCCTCATCCAGGACTCTGAAAGCAACCAAACTCTTGTTTTCCCTGTCTTTTCCTCCTTCCTGGTCCAAACGCTTGCTTGTTTCTCCATGCCCCAGAAACTTTTCTAAGACCCTGAACTTGCTCTCCCTTTCACTTTTTCTGTCCTCTCTCTTATTTATTCATTTTTTTGGTACTGGCAATCGAACTCACAATCTTGTACTTGCCAAGCAGGCGCCTGTGCTGCTGAGCTAAATCCCCAGCCCCTTTCTCTGGTCCTTTTAAAATGGGCTGCCCCTCGGGACTTTCTGCCCACTCTGCAGCTAGCTGCACACCTGCCTTCGACTTCTGCCCTACAAGACAGCTCTAAGGTCCCCAGTCTTCTTAGTTTCTAGTGCAGAGGGTCATCAGTATAGCCTCACTGCACCTCTGTAGCAGGTAGCTGGCTGCTGAAGCTCCCTCCTGGACACAGGGTAGAGACCTCCCCCAAGGCCTGGTTCTAATCCTCCATCCCAAGTACCACACATCTCCTAAGGGACAGTGTGCTAAACCACCTGTCTACTGACAACCTCCAAATCTGCGAGTCTATTCAGATCCTGTCCCAAGTCCACTACCCAGGACCTACAGGAACCCAGACATTCACCCACTCCTGCTGCTCTTAGGAGGCTTCCCAAAGCCCTCAGACATCCATACCACTGTGTGACAAAACTCCTCACTCAGCTCCAAGGGAAAACATTCCCAAGTGAGGCAAGTTTACTCTCCTGAGACGGGGAAAATGAGACACAGGAAGTAGGAAGTTATACAGAACCAAGACCACAGGAGAAGGAAATGGGCAAGACCTACCTGCAGAGTCAGGCTTGAGCTCTAGAAGTACTGAGCATAAGCACCTGAGGACAGGTCACCTGGTTTGTGGTAAAGCTTCCAACCTTTATGTCCCATGAGATAGGCTTTTTCTTAGAAACTTATTTGTTAACTTTGCCTATTAAGCCAGTTTCAGTGAAGTTTTGTATCTGCAATCAAATTACCCCTAAAATAACCTTCTATGCATTACAAAAAAAAAAGATTATGGCAAACTATGTGGGCATGGTGGCATACAGCTGGGAGGCTGAGGTAGGAGGCTCACAATTTTGAGGCCAGCCTGGATTACAAAGTGAGTTCAAAGCCAGCCCGACTTGCATACTGTCTCAAAAACAAATAAACTAGCTATCCATAAAAATGGGTAACTTTTAGTTTCAATGAGGGAAAGGACTTATGTAGAGCCAAAAACAGAACTGAGGAAAATAAACAAATAAAAATGCCATAAGGAAACTAACTCACCACCAGAATGCTCAAGACTAAAGAGTGCCAGTATCAACCACCAGCAAGGATGGGGAGCCACCAACAGTTTCAGCTACACAGTGGGCACCCACAGCCACCACGGCCACCCCAGTGAGGAAAGCTTTTGGGCAAAACAGAGTCACGCAAGACACAACATGCAAGTCACAGCAAATGCCAGTGACAAACAGGATGGGCAACACAGTATATTCATACAGTGGACCAACAAAATACACAGAGGGCTAGATCTCTGTGCAACAAAGGAGAGCTTATGTAACCTCACTTGCAGGAAGTACAACAGCAAAACTAAAGTATGGGAAGGGAGGTAAGAAGCATCACTTTTGGGAGGTTGGAACACCAAGAGGAATGCTCAGGATGTTTCTCAAGTGTCCAAAGAGATCTATTGGCGGATGGCTGTGTCCACATTTTAAAAAAAAAATCTTTCAGGCTAGAGTCCTCAGTGGCCTTCAATAGGAGGCTTGCCCCACCTTCAGGTGTGTCATTCCAACCTCCACCCGAAGAGCAGGCAGCACGCCCCTACCTCAGGCCAGGTGTGCCGAGCTAGCCTGTAATCCCAGCACTAAGAGACAGGATCGCAAGTTTCCAGTTAGTCTGAGCAAGAAATAAAATAAAAAGCCAGCTGGATGTAGCTCAGGCTGAAGGCTCCGGGTTCATCCCCTCAGTCGAGCATCGCGCGCGCACACGCACGCATGCGCGCATATGCGAGAACTCCGATTTGTTCTCGTTAGGAATGAGCTAAAGCCTTTCCTAAACCCTGCCTCACCTGCTCCCAACTCGCCACCACAGCTCCACACGCACTAGGGTTAGGTTCGCTAAGAGAGAGACCTAATGACCGTATGCTAAGCTCACAGCTCGACAAAAAGCTTTGGAGTGGTGTGGTCTGTGCAAAGCTGAAGAGCAGAATGTGTAGCCTCCCCTAGAGATCCTGATAAGCCGATAGCTGCTTCCTCTGAACTAGAGTATGCCTCTTAGCGAAAAAGACCAACGCCCGTGGCGAGCGAGCAGGACGCGCCTGCCCACAGGGCAGCCCGAGGTACCGCACGGAGGACACTGGCTCGCCGAGCGCACGGGCTTGGCAGCGCTGCAGCTCTGCCACCCTGTCCCGGAGGAGACCCAGCCCAGGAGCACGGCAGCACTGGCGACGCCAGCGTGGAGCTGGCTGACCCCGCGCCTGCCCGAGGGAACTCGCCGGCTCCGGGTCTGCAGCACCTGCCCCGGCGGCCGTCACACCACCACGCTCGCGCCCCGGCCCGGAGAGGCCGCCCCGCGCCCCGCGCACCTTCCTGCTTGCGCCGCCGAGGGACACCTTGGGCCGCGTCTTGAAGTCACCCTCGAAGCTGAACATCTTTGCCGCCCCCTAGCCCATGTGCGCGGCCCGGCTTGGGGGTCTCGGGGCGGGGCCGGGGCCCGTGGGGTCCGCGCTCCCACCCTGCCCGCAGGCGCGAGGCGACGACGCTCGTGGGAGGGCCCTCCGCTCCTGCCTCCTCCTCCTCGCCGCAGCCGCGGCCGAGCGAGGGGCGCCGCTGCGCCGCTGACCCCGCGCAGCACCAAGCCGCCACGGCTGCCGCCGCCGCCGCCGCCGCCGCCGCAGCCGCCGAGACAAAGATGGCGGCTACCGCGCTACGTGCGCGCCCGGCGAACGTGCGTGCCCCGCCTGCCATCGACTGCGCGGCACTCCCCCCAGCGGCCTCCACGAGCGTGCGCGCGCCCGCCATCGACTGCCCGGCGCTCCACCTGGCTGTCCTTGGAACCGCGGCCCGCTAAAGCGTCCTGTAGCGAGCGCGCCACCGCCAAACCGGAAAGATATTTGGAGGTCTCTCCTTGCACTCTTTCCTGGGAGCTCTTTGGTGCTGCCAGGCCACGCTCGATGTGACCGTCTGACCCTCGTGAGGACCGGCTACCCAGAGCCTTGATACACCTAGCGCGCAGGCACAGGTCCACACAGGCGTAAGGACGTGCACAAACCCAACTTGCGCTACAGGCCAACACACGTGAATGTGAGTCGCACACACGGCACACACATGCAGATATCGGCATCACAGACCCGTGCTCACACATAAGTGCAGATGTGTATACTATATGAGTATACATCTCGGGCACTTATGTACCCAAGGTCTGTTACATCAGACCATGTACACATGCATGCATGTACAGTATGTAATATACATACATGTATACGTACAGCATACACACACAGTTATGCATAAGTATGTACATGCACATACACAAACCTACCTCACACACCTTATCGTGTACATACATACTTCAGGTACATATACATTTATAGACAAATATCTGCCCTACAGACCCACACATCTACATAATTAAAAAGAATGTACACAGGACACATAAAATGTTTTGTTTTTTTTTTTTTGTCTTTTTCGTTTTTATCGGTACCAGGGATCGAACTCATGACTGCCTGCTTGCAAGCTCAGCTAAATCCTGCCGCTGAGCTAAATCCCCAGCCTCTGAGGACACATAAAATGTGTATGTGTGTCAATTCATGCATTATGTACTGTAAACAGATACCAATGAAAACTAAAAATGAATCTGTATCACAGGCCTATGCATATGCATAAGCATACTATATACATACACATCTCCCATAAATGTAAATCATATTTGTACAACATACATATACATAAATTACATCATATACAGACACATACACACTTATTTACGGATACATACAGTATATGCATGTGTGTTTTCACACAATATTCACGTACATAAATGTGTCATGTACACATGTACAGCATACATGAATATATGCCATTCTTATAATATATGAATAGTTTTTCTTTGGCCATCTGGGGATTGAACACAGGGTCTTTGTATTGAGCTATACAGTCTCACAACCCCCTTTTAAAATTATTTATTTTGGGGGGCATGGTGACACATGCCTGTAATCCCAGCACTTGGGAGGCTGAGGCAAGAGGATTTTTGAGTTTGAGACCAACCTGGGCTATAAAGTGAGCTACAGGCTAGCTTGAATTGCATAGGGAGACTGTCTCAAAAAGACAAAAAAAAATTTTTTTTTATTTTGAGGCACATTTTTCTAAGTCCCTAAATTGCCCAGGCTGGGCTGGAACTTGCCATCTTCCTGCATCACCACATCTGGCTTGACATTTAGTTTTGTATATATTTAAGGTATACAACATGGTGTTCACATGTGCAGCATGAAATGATCACTCTCATTTATCTGTAGTAACAGCACCTACAGTCTATTTCTTCAGGATGTTTTCAGTATACAACACAATGTCTAACTACAGTCCTTACATAACCTATCTCTAGACTTCTGCGTACTGCATAACTGCAAGGTTGTCTCCTCTGACCTACATGTCTGCTTCTCCCTCCTCTTCCATCTATTGGTAGCCAACATGGATGTTTTCCATGTATTTGACTTTTTATTCGATTCTACATAAAAGTGAGATCAGGAAGTATGGATCTTTCTGTGCCTGACTTATTCACTTAGCTTAATGTCCTCTCCAGGATCATCCCTATTGTGGTAAATGGCCATATCTTACCCACCTTTTTTTTTTCCCCACCTTTTTTTTAATCCCCCGGGGCTCAATGTATATTTTAGGCTGGTCTGAACTCACTGTGTAGCCCAGGCTGGCTTTGAGTTCACAGTGACACTCCTGCTTTACCCTCCCAAGTGTTGGGGTTCCAGGTGTGCATCACTACACCTAGGAATATCCCCTTCTTTTAGAAAGGCTGAACAATATTGTATTGTGCACTGTATAGCACATATGTATATACATTACGATTTTGTTACCCATTGATGGGTGGGTAAACGCTTAGTTGGTGTCCAGCCTAGCTATGATGAATTATTCTGGAATGAACAAGGAAATGCACATGTCTCTAAGAGGTGCTGAGTTTGTTTCCTTGGGCAGAGAGATTGGGAATCCCCATCAGAGACTGAGTTCTAATTTTGGGGAGAAACTTTTCCCTAATGACGGCATCAACTTGCAGTCACACCAACAATGTACTGGATTTCCTTCCCACACTCTCACTGATGCTCTCACACCTGCGCTGAGGGGCATCAGATGATGTCCTGTTGTGGTTTTGATTTGCATCTTCCCCAATTGTTAGTGACCTGGGGCACCTTTCCATACACCATTGTTTATCTTTAAATCTTTCTTGAAAAATGTCTATTCAGACCCTGTTTTGGTTTAGGGCTAGCTGCTCCCCTCACAAAAACAAATTCAAAAAAACCCTTACATGCTCATAGGCGGGGCTTTGGGAAGTGCCATTGTGGGAGTGTGATTAGTCCTTTGAGGAGTCCATCACTAAATGTGTTGTTGAGAGATGAAGTTTGGTAGGAGGAGGTGGTCCCTGGGGTGTGGCCTGGAAGGGTTTTTCTCACCCTCCTCCTCCCTTGGTCTCTCTGCTTCCTGCTGCCTGTTGTACTCTCCTTTGCCATGCACTTCTGCCATGTCACCCTGCTTTGGTGGCAGCCTTTACAAACTGTGACAAAGTAAACTTTAAGAGTGGGCATGGTGGCACACACCTGTAATCCAAGCATTCAGGAGGCTGAAGCAAGAGGATCACCATGAGTTTGAGGCCAGCCTGAGCTGCATAGCAAGACTCTGTATAACAAAAAGAAAAACTTCCTAAAATTTTTTTAAAAATTAAAAATAAACCTTAGGGGGCCAGAATCCATGCCTGCACCCCAGACCCCGTCAGAGCTGCTCCCCCTCTCCTGAGGGCCAGGCTCTGTGGGGCACACTGTCCTCTCTTATGGAAGCGGCATTTGTGCCTGGACCTCAAGCCCTCCTGCAGGCACCTCTGCCTCTCTGGAACTCCTAATCTTTTCCTTCGCTACTTAGACCCCCACCAAGTGGGTCACCACTGCTGGTGACACCAGTGCCACAGTGGATTTTGGAAAGTTTCAAGACTGTACCAGCCTTGGCCCCAGGAGCTGCACCTTGGCCTGCGCTCATCCATGCATGGCCCACACTTCCATGTCTGGCCTTGAGTTGAATGTCTGTATGAAGTCACGGTCATGCCAGGCACTTCCTGAAGCCCAATCCTGTCTGCTTGACTCTCTAAACCACCCAAGTGGCTTCAGCTTCCCAGAGCCAGGATGTCTCCAGCATAGGTGCCCATTTGTGCATAGGCAACTGCCTGAGGACTGCAGTCGCCAGTGGGGTTGGGGTTGTGTGGCCCCGAATGTCTAGCTTCTCCTCTTTCTACTCAGCAGAGCAGGTGCCACCCAGTTGTCCCCAACCTTAGGTGCTACCCAGCCTCCGTTTGCTGCCCTGTAAGATAAACTCACAGTTTCACAGACTTCTTGTCAGGATGACCTGGTTATTCCTTAAGAAAACCTTGTCCACACTTCAATTGCACACTAAGCAGTATCCCTAGTACCCATTTTCAAAGAAAAATAAAGTGTAAAGCGTTTCCTGGTAGTGACACACTGTTCCAACGCTGTGGCCTTGGGTCACAGCCCCTCTCTGTCTCTTTCCCACCACACACCTGACTGTGAGCACAGCCTGGAGCTCGGAGCTCCAGTTAGCAGACAATGCCAACAGAGGCAGGTCAGCAGTGGTTGTTGTTAGTAAACTAGACACCCTTATTCTTGGGATTTTGCCAAGTTCGTGGACCCCCAAAGTTTGGTAACAAACAATCATAAAATGACCGATATCGACACTATGCTGTTAACAGCTACTGATCCTATTTGTATACATTCTCATTGTTTTAATCTTTTTAAAAGGTTGAGCAATTAAGAGTGTGTTTGGCTGCCATTCAGTGCATGGGACAGGTTAGCTGGACTGCAAATGCTCCTTGTGCCTCCTCAGGAGGCTGAGGCAGTAAACCCCCAGGCCGCTGCATTTTGGGAAGATGTATGCATGTTTCTGCTCAAAATCAACTAAAAATAACCGAGTGCTGCATAATTGAGTGAATATCTGAGGGAAAGCGGAGCGTTCACATCCCACTGGGCAGCACACCAGTACCCACAGAGTATTCTATTTGCTATTTACATCTGCAATAACCCTAGGGGGGAAGGAAGAGTGTGACTTTGTATAGGGTGGAAGCTGAGTCTTTTTTTTTTTTTTTTTGTCTTTTTGAGAAAAGGTTTCACTATGCAGTTCAAGTTGGCCTTGAGCTCACTTTGTAGCCAGACTGGTCTCTAACACCTAGCAATCCTCCTGCCTCAGCCTCCTGAGTGCTGGAATTACTGTTATGCACCCGCATGCCCAGTATGGAAACCAAATCTTGGACATGGAAGTAAGCAAGGAATTCCCCCATCTGGGCAACAGAAGTACTAGGGTCAGATTCAGTTTCTTTATTTCTTTTCTTTTCTTTTCTTTTTTGTAAGATAGGATCTTGCTATGTAGTTTAGGCTGAATGTAGCCTACGATGCCCTCGAACTTGTGGCAATCCTCCTGCCTGTCTCCTGAGTGCTGGGATCCCAGACATGCACCAACACATCCAGCTTCTGTCCAGTTTCTGTGTGATTCCAGACCTGTCCTCTTCCCCAGAACAACTTGTTCTGTGACCAGCAGGCCGCCAGGGTACAGTTTTTAGCAATACATATCCAGCTTTGCCTCAAAGGGACCTATAAAACTTTTTTGTTTACTCGGGG